ATTGAACAAAATTACTCAAATAGCTAATCAACATTTAAGTCTTTAAGACTTTCATCTCTCCTCATTAACTCACCATTAGCTCTCTCTTCTCTTTCTCATTAACTCCTTTGATTATCTCTCCTTGTTAATCATTCTATTAACTCTCTCTTTCAATAACTCAATCAACTAATTCTTTCTTCCCTCAATTACTCCAGTAAATTGTTATTTTTCTTGTGTCCTTTTTCCTTTTTACTAGTAAAAATATACATGCATTTGCATGTGGCAATATCTCTAAGACAAAACTATTTATAATTAATTCATGGGTAATTTACGAACGGTTATAAGTGGGCAGTTTCCGAAGTGAGTAAAGGACATATATGCCCTCTTTATGCCCACTATATGCTTAGACGGGTGGGGTAGAAAACGTCCATTGAAAATTCTAGAAAGAAGGGGCATTTACTCTTTTATAGGTAGTATATAGATATATATTTTTATTTTATTCTCTCTCCTCCCCCATTAATCTAATAAACCAAGAGTAATTTTTTAGGGGTGATCATTTTAGTTTGGCCCAAGTCCTAGCTCCACCAAGCCCACAAATTTTAGGGCCAAGTTGAGCTTAATAGTTCAAGGTTTGCATGGGCCCAACCCAACCTATAAACAAATAACAAATTAAAAATGAGTTAACAAAAATATCATAAATAGTTAAATCACCTAAATTAGAGAAATAAAATTCTAAGACATTAGTCAACCTATTTTAGCATATTTCTATAGGCCTCTCCTATTATTAATCTATTATATTCCAAAGGGAGCAAATTTTACTCTCATCCAAATTGTTATTTCATATTCAAATTATATTTAATTGGTTAATTGTCAAAAATTTATAATTTCAAACCTAATAACTAAAATTAATAAAAAATTATTAAGTTCAATAAAAGATATTAAGTTTTAGCAAGTTTTTATCTAGCAACTATTAAAAATTAAAAGAATAATAATAATAATAAAAGTTAGTAGTTCATAAATTAAAAACTAAAATACATTTCAATTCTTTTTAAAAATAATTGATATCCATAGGCAAATCAAAACTAATTATAAAAAGTAAAATAAAATATTAAAAATAATAAAATAAACCATTTGTGTTCCATATAAAAATCATAAAAATTAATTAAAATAACAAAACTAATAATGAACCAATTAGTGTCATAAGAGTCCTACTTAGGGATAATCATTTATAACTTAGCCCAACCCAGCTAGACATACAAATTTCCAAGATCAAGAAACTATTTTCTTTTGTACGAGGTCTAACTTAGATCGCAACATCAAGCCCACACAAAATGCGGGCAATATGGTGGTAAACGGTTTGGATTCAAATTGGATCCAGCTGCATCCACATCTACACTTGATTATTAAATCACTATATCTATATCCACATCTGATTAGTATATTGGATTTTGGATTGCATTTAGATTTAATCCGCTACCATCTTATTAAGTTTAAAATGACAAAAAAATAAAAAAAAATTAAAAAAGTGCAAATTGGATTCAAATTGGTTTAGAGTGAGAACTGGAATTGAAATTGTCTATTCCCATGGTTTATTTGGTTCAAACAGGAATTGGAATCAGCTGGAATGGGATTTCATTCACAAGGGAGAGGAGGGAATGGCCATTTCCACAAAGGGGGGAATGCCATTCCACCAGGAATGGGAATGGGATTATGATTCTGCTCAACCAAACAGTTTGAATTGGTCATTCCAATTTGATTCCAAACCCCTATTCCTGTAAAGAAAATAGGCCCTAAATTTATCAATTATAAACTTTATATAATTATACATAGTATCTATGTGTATACATATTTATACTAAATATATACATAAAGTAATAATCTTTTATTGGACTTGGATTTTAGTTGGATCAAATGGGGTTAAATCCACATATGATCCAATTATTAATTATACAGTTCTAATCGAATTCATAGTCAAATTGAGTATTGGACTTTCAGAGTTCATTGACAACTTTAGCAGGCAGGGTTTAAGCTAAGCAACCCCTAAGCTAGATTAGGACGTTATATACATATATACTTAAATAACAAATTTTATATTAATATATAGATAGAAATTTAATATAGCTTTTATAATAGACTAAAAATAATATTAAAATTTTAATTTGTAAAAAATCATAGTTTTATAATTAATACGGGCAATCTTGTCTCTATCTTAGGCCCAGACAAATATTATTGCACTTGGGGTGTGGACTGAATTTAGCCAAGCAACCTTAAAAACTATTAATACAGTATCAAAATCTGGCTCATGCTCTTTTATTTTATTTGGTTCATTAAGCCACACAATGGGGTAGTCCATCTCCCATAGCTCCTTCACCTTCAATATTAATAATTTTTATCTAAAAATAGTTAATAGTTGAAAAATAATTCATGAATTGGTTTGCACTCGATTTGGTTCGAATTAATTACAAATGTCACATTGCTCTTAGGGGTGCAACTCAGGGGGTTGTATCAAGTTGAGGATATACCAAAGTCCAATCCAAAGTCTTAAACCTCAAGCTCAAGCTTGGATTAATTTAATTATGACTACAACCAAATTTTATATACTTATAATATTTAAGTATTTTAGATATTAAGTAATATTTAAAAAATTGTAAGTTTTAATCATTAATAAAGTGAAATAAATAAAATATAACTCTAAGAGATAATATAAAAAATAATTATTTTATTAAGTAATTAGCAACAATTTATTGTTTTTGTTAAACTTATTAATATAATTAACCCAAATTACTAAATTTCTTAACTATTTTTGCAACAAATCTATACTATATATAAACATGTAATGTGAAATGTTTTTTAGACTAAAATTACCCTCTACTTCTTTGTTTAAGAAAGGGTATAAAAGTCAATTTCATTTTAACTTTAAATGCCAGCTTTAATGCCTACTAAAATGGCCATAATTGTGTATTTAATCCATCTCTAATTATTGTAAGAGTTGAAAATGCAACTTCAAATATTACTTTCCACATCATTTAATCCCCTCTCATCAAGTCTTATACTTAAGGCACTAAATCCCATTTTCTCTAATTAAATCCTATATTTTTAAGTTATTTTTCACTAATAAATACTATTGATTAGATCTATGTCAATATTTTTAATAACATAAACCCATATATCTTAAAATTGACTCAAAAACAAAATTAAGTGTAATAAACAAAAAATAATTTTATTGATAATGAAAATGAAATACATAATGTAGAAAAAATGAAATATAAAAATTAATAATAAATAGTTCAACTTTTGAGTTAAATGTGTCAACCTTTAATTTCATAAATGAATAATAAAAATTGATAAAATATAAAAATATAAAAATGAAAAAATATATACATTTTGCAAAAAAAAAAGCATTCAGACACATACATAATATCATATATTTATCATATTAAACAAAAAGATATGAGATATCAAAATTTTTTTACACACAAAATGCAAAAAAAAATTATAGAAAAAATTAAAGACATTGATAATTCTATATTTACACTACTATTAAAATATGAATAATATTATGGAACTTTTTATTGACTAAAATCAAGGTTTTAAAAATCGACCGAAATGGTACCGCTTTGGCTTCTAGTTTTTGGGTAAGTGGTTCAACCATGTAGTTTGAGTGAGTCAAACCGATAAGATATAAAATATAATGTAAATTTTTATTTTGATTGTTAGATTAGGATTAGGTTAAAGTTTATTGTATATATACATTATTATGAAAGGGGAGTGTGAGACTTTGAAAAGGAGGAGGAGGAGGAGAAGGAGAAGAACAAAAACAAGAAAAAGAGAAGGAAGCTTCACCAATGGTGGTTGTCCCAATGTTCACCATTCATTGTTGCAGAAGTACTATATATTTGCCGAAGAAGAAGATTCGAATAAGAAGAAGAAGAAGAAGGAACCACCAATGGCAGATATCTCCATGTTCATCATCACTACCGCTAAAGCACCACTGGCCCTTTTTTTACGTCTCTTACATCTCTCATCTCTCTGAATCTTTATCAAATCCAAGATCATTTGCTTCATTGGTGTATCTTGGATTTCTAATATAAGATCGGTGTTTAATCTCTCATCTCTTGCATTGATTTTTTCAATTTATCCATTGGAGTTGCAAATTTTTTGTTGTTACAACTTAAAAAGGATCGTAAAAATGAAAAAACTCAAAAACTAAATGAAAAAAATAAAAACCTTAACTAATTTTGGCCATTGGGAATAACTGAATAAGATTATGAGATGTGAAAGTTTCTTTTGTTATTTTTTTATTTCCTAATTTTTATTTTAAAATAAATAAAAAATATGAAAATAGTTTGAAAGCAACCCAAGATCCATTAATTGGGTTGAACATTTTAATAGTTAAACCATTCGGATCAGCGGTTCTTTGACCATGTCAATAGTTTTTTGTAAATTTGCAGTTCAAAGCCAAAGTGGAACCGATAACCTGACTGATTCCCGAGCCAAATGATTTGACTATCTGGTTTAGTTCGATTTTTAAAACAATGACTAAAATACTCATTTTTTTATTTAGTCCATTGTTAATTGTAAAGTTTAAATTATAAATTGAACTACTAATTTTCACCCCATCTAATTCCCTTTATCTAAATCTTGCATTTTTTTGACAAATGAACTAAAGAAAAATATATACAAAAAAGACAAAACACTACAAAAACAGAGTCTAGCCAAGCAACTGGCCTATCAATGATATTTGAAACTTTACAATTCGATCTAATTATCACATATTTTGATGAGGTGTTTATGTAATCAGATTTGGATTTTGCAATCTGCATCTGATTAATAATAAAAAACAAAAATAAAAGATACATAAAGTTTATAGAAAATTTTTGGATATATTGTTACTATAATTGTCATCATCTAGAATTGTCACGTGCAAAGCACATGCACACTTACTAGTTACTAAAATAAAAGATTAATTATTTTACACAACATTGCATTCCTCATGATAGTTATTAATTTCTATAGCTTCATTTTCCCTTGACAAATCCTGTGCGTCGGATGGATCCCCTTCCGTTAACTAGTATACAAATACAATTTTTGGATTCTTCTACAAAATGCATCAAATTGATGGAGACATTGCTAGACTGTTACATTTGAACTCTTCTTACAATTTTACACCTTTACATTGTTAAAATTCTACTTCTTTCCGTCTTCAAAACCTAAACAGCAACCTTATTGTTACATCGTTGGAAAACTCAGAGCCATTGATGCATATAAACACATCGTCTGGGGTGAAAGACAGTGAACCAACTCTCTGCAGCAAATTGTGGGGGGGAAATCAGTACAGATAATCTGAAAGACATTGAGAATTTGCTGGTGGTTCTCTCCTTGAATGTTAAGCTACTTAATTGACACCTGTACTTTCAGGATCATCAAGAACTTGCAAGTATAGAGGAACTACAAGGGGTATAAATGAGTTTCTCCGCTTGTCAACAGTGTCTGCTTTTGCTGGGATAAGGATCATTAGTTGAGATTTGATAGGAGGCTGAATGCCACAATACTTGAGACTTGGGGCTTCATTCAGAACTGTTGTTAAAGAACACCTAGATCTCTTAGGTTTTTCAGAAAAGTTTCTCCTACAGAAGAGGCAGACTTCACAAATATGGCAGGGTAGCCAACTGGAGCTTCTATCCAAACTTCAGTTCCCTGTTTGTTGAATGTTTTCCCTGTCCAAATGTGTTTCCAAGAGCAACTTTCTCCTAGTGGGAAATATGCCTTAACTTCCTTCTTGCCTTTATCAAGAACAGGCACAACTAGGATCTCTGTGCCAACCAAGAACTGTTGATAAGTCATGTTGTGCACATGTTCATCGTTCGGAAAGTGGAGAAAGAGATGACGGCAAACAGGCAGACCTTTGAGTGCAGCTTCCTGATTTGAATCAAAAGAAGAAAGAATCCAATAAAAAAGACCTATTAGATTGTAGTAAGGTAAGTTGGATGTTATAGTGTTTTTACAAAAAAACTTGCTTCGAAGTGAAACAGAAACAGGTATTGACAAATTCTTGACATTACCTTCACAAGTTGAATCCTGTAAAATTTCCAAGCCTTGTAAACCTTGGCAAAGCGTGCAAAATGTGACAAGGTTCGGCTATTCGAGTAGAACTGTATATTTGCAGATGGTCTATTTCCCTGTTTGAGAAAAAAAAAAATTGCTTGGTATCTTATTAGGATTGTCAAAATGGAGAATATCAATTTGAACTCTTCAACATTTGGGGATTAATATCTGTTTATTGCCTCAAACCTGGACAGCTCCATCAAAGTAATTTAAGAGCTTCATCCTGTTGTTTGGAAAACTTCATTTGAGCAAATAAACCTGTTTGATTATGGCAATGTAATCTTATAAGTTTTTATGTAAAGTTGGAGGCAGCCACTTTTACTTACTTCATGGGTTCTAAACACTGTACTGAATGCATTCAGTTCCATCCATCTCAAAAGCAACTCTTCACTTCTTTGATACTTAATAAGAGGTAAGCTTACTGCACAGTAGCCTCCAATGTCACTGTGGTTGAAGGCATAACCAGACAGTCCACTACTAAGCAAGCCTACAACAGCACTCTTGATTCCATCATTTGCCTGCCAGCTTACCATCTGGTCACCTTCCCAAAACAGCATACCCCATTTGGGACTTTCCCTAAAACCAGCCCTCATGAAAAAGACTAAAGACTCTTCTTTGTCCTTCTCTTCCCTTGCAAGTTGAGTAGATTGCCATTCTTCCACAAACTCCCGGTTTATTTTGGCCCATAACTCAGGATATCTGTTATGGGCAGATATAGGATCCTCACCTAATCAATGAGAATGCTCTATTAGTGTTGGTAAATATGAAGTTCTCTACGTTTTTGATAAATAAGAAAATAAAATTTCATACCTGAATAGAGTGATGCATCCAGTGGCAGGCCTTCACCAAAATCTGCCATCCATCCCCTGACACCATCATCTACCATTTCCTGTAAGATCTGCTTGAACCATCGTGAGGCATCTGGGTGTGTCAGATCCAACATCCCCACATCAAAAGCTGTGTTTGGAACCATATATATTTCTCCACTCTTGTGTTTCACTAAGATGTCCAACTTTTTGGCCTCCTCAAATAGGTTTCTCCTTCTGTTCAACTTCTCATCAACCTGTGATGGCAAATAATTAGCAAAGAATCAGAAACTTGTTTTTGACTTGTCCTCTCTAATCATTCTCTCTCTCAATTATCAATGAGGGACAATATATTTACAGGTGCTAGACAAGGATTGCAGTAAGTCATCACTTTAATATCCTCTGAACCAAGATCCTTCAGAAGTTGTTGCCATCCCCTGTACTGTTCTCTGTCAATTTCCCAATTCCACCATAGCTGAGACCCAATTACAGTCTTTCTCTGCCCCACCCAATCCTACATGCCATCCACCACATCCTCATTCAGATGGAATTTGACTTAGATATGCGTCTCTGTGAAGGTGGAGGTGTATGTCTATGTTTGTATTAGGTAAGAAAACTACCTGCAACCAGAATGCTGAGATGGGAACATCATAATTTTTCAGTTTATCCCAAACCTTGCGTACTGTCTCTGTCCCACCTTGCATTCCCACCACCGCTCCGGAGATGATCCAGTTAGCAAGCTCAGGGGGTCGTCCAATGGCTTCTGTGAATTGTTCAATAAGGCCAGTTGGTGAGTTCCCATAGAGTATTCTACCTTGCAACGAATCGCCATGTATCTGTAAGAAATAACAGAAAAACCTGAAACTTTGAGAAATGATTACCTTGAGGATATTCTGAGATGTATTAACTTCAAGGAATTACCTTTATCTGAACTCTATCTGGTTTTGTTAGATCAAAAACAGAATAATTGTATCCTTCAAGGTAAAGAGACCTCATCTTTGATGTCATATAGAATGGAGAAGGTGCATAGGTAGTACTCCAGTCACCTCCAGCTCTGTAAAAGTAAAAGTTTAAAATTGAACAAAAGTAGAATTAAATTGATCAGAGGCTCAGAATGTCTTAGATATACCTGTAGCTAACCAGATTAGCTGCAAGAGTGATGGGTTGATCTCCTCTTCCAATGCCCTGCTCTTGAACAAAAATTGGTACTCTTCTACCTTTGAACTCCATGTGAGAGAACTGCTCTCCAAAACCGTAGAACTTCTCATCTGTTTCACTTGAATATGTCAGAAAAACTCTGTTTACCCCTGGAAAATCTCCAGGCTTCTCTTCTTCTCTTTCATCATCTGAAGGATTAACTGCAACAAAACCTCTTGGCCTTGAGAGAAACCAAAACCACCCAAGACGTCGTTTCTTAGGCCTGCCCAGCTTCCATCTTAAACTCCTGAAGCTTCTGGGGACCTTTGGCAAGGCTCTCCGGTGCAAATCAGAATTGGGTATTCCAAGTTTCACTTGGAAAGCAATTTGATTACTGCTTTTCTGTTCAAACAAAGCCCAATATCTTTTGGCAGAGATGGAATGTTCCTCGGTCTCTAAATCTAAGCCTCCATGAGCTCTGAGTTTCTCAAAATGAAACTGTTTTTGCTTATTCCTCCTCGTGTCGCAGAAAATCCAACCTGTTATGAGTAAAATGGGGAAATAGGTATCCTTGAAATCCAATTTATAGTCCATTGACCAGAACCCAGATGGGAAATCAGGATACTTTGCCACTTCACTGATATCAGATTGATTTATCACCTTTATATCTTCAATATATTGACGGTTACATATCGAATGAACACGTTTATCTTTTATAACAAACGAACCTCTGCTTTCTTCCGCCTCTGTCTCTACAATTGCTGCAGAAACAAAGGCTTGTCCTGGCACGGTAGACCAGATGGGCCTCGTGGGTTGAGATTTGGGAGAAATAGAGAGACACCCACCATCAATTGAGCTCCAACTGAGCTGGAAATCCTTCCCAACATCGAAGATCTTCTGTGAAGGGACTGTTTGTAGATTGAAGAACAGGCCTCCATGGATGAAAGGAAGAGCTTTCGGGGGAGATGTGAAGGGGTTGTTGAGGTGTTTGTGATGTTTCTTGGTGATTTTGAGGCTTGCCATGTTTGAGTTGAAGACGTGTCTGACCCATGGAATCTCATTTATAGATTCATGACAAAGACTAGTTCAATTGTCTTTTGAGTACTAGATTCACAAGACACTAGATGGTTTCCAATTTGAATCAAATTCGTGGGTCCCATGCAGAAAGCTATGTTAATTAGGCCAGTCGAATAATATTTATCATCATCATCAAAGCCTTGTGTCCCATTTACATAAGTCGGTTACATGAGTCCTGTTTCATCATTCCATTTTATCCATTGTCTAATTCATCTTTAAATTAATTAATTATGAGCAATTAAATCATTTCTTATTATTTTTATTTAAGTCTTTTTTGACATGCCCCTTTTCTAATATAAGAGCCCAGAAGTATTGAGTAAGAATTGATTTTGCTTAGTTGAGTAGTGTTTGCTAGAATATATGATTTTGTTTTCAAAACCAAAACAACAGCCTTATGTTGCAACTGATGAATCAAGCTGTTATTCCTTCTACAGGAGAGAGAGAAACGCCAAGCAATATAAGATGGATCGTGCAAATTTGTTGTTTCTGTTATTATGTATCTAGACATGATTATGTGACAGGTTCATTTTTTATGGTAGTGAATCACGCCTTTAATTTTGCTCCATTCATAGGTGTGAATCTTCCCTCCATTAGGCATTAATTCATCCCTTTGGGCAATCTGTCCCACCATTCCTAATATGCAATGAAATTAAGAAAGTACCGTGTACTCGTTATTCAAATGAATATCGTCACAAACTCACCTTTTAACAGTAGGATTGGCATCAAGGTTGATAGTGATACGTGGTATTAAGCGAGATGTGCGGTTGTAAATCTGTATTCATTATACTTAGGCCAAGTTTGGGAGTGTTTAAAATTTCCGATTAATATCCTGCACTTTAGGCCTAGTGCCACTTTAATTCCCGAACTTTAAAATGCGACAATTTAATATCCGAACTTTTAAAACATGGTAATTCAGTACTTGTCATTAATTAGTTGTTATCCAGTCGTTAAGTGGAATTTGAAAAAGACACAAATGCCCTTCGAGTGTCATCTAATTTTCTTTATCAACCATCTAAAATCTGAGTTCACATCTGTGCCCCATAACGTCCCATAGTACATCCCCGCTGTGTATTGGGAACATCTCCTGATGGTATACCAGAAATGATGATGTCATCATCAGGAGATGTTCCCAATACACGGTGGGGACGTACTGTGGGACGTTGTGGGGCGCCCCCTTGTGGGGTGCAGATCTGAACTCCTCAAATCCTTGCCTCTTCTTCAATTCAAGAAAGTTCGGGTCACGTTTGTGTGGGCATTTTGGTGACCCCAACTTTCTTGAATGAAACAAGCAAGGATTTGGGACTTAATTTTTTGTCAACGTTTAGATGGTTGATAAAGAAAATTAAATGACACTTGAAAGGCATTTGTTTCTTTTTCAAATGTCATTTAACAGTAGGTTAATGATGTAATCGGTTCCGGTCACGTATCATTTTTTTTCATGATGTGTCAATTTTTTGGCTAAGTACCTCGTCATCTTGTCTGCTCCCAAGTGGCCTGTGACTTAGAGGCTGAAGTGGTGCTCCCTGCTGGCGAATTGCTTGGTGGTGAACTACCTTGATGAGCTACCTTGATGAGCTGCTTGGAGGTGAGCTACCTTTATGAGCTGCCTGGAGGTTAGCTACCTTGATGAGCTGCCTGGAGGTGAGCTACCTTGATGACGAGCTCCCTAGTATAGTGCAACCCGACTGCTACCGGCAATAGGTGATCTGGCTACCAGTAGCGATGGGAACTGAACTGGCTACTCCCTGCTGACGATGATATGCTCATCTTTGTAAGCGGCGGGAGCTGAGGGACCAGCAAGAACTAAATCAGAGAACCCGGGGGTGTTTACCCGGTGAGGTCACTCCAATGGCTAAGTTAGCGCAGTATAATAGTAGAGAGCTTGAAGATGATAAGAGAATGAGAGAGCTAGAGAGCAAAGGTTACCCATCCCTTTTCGCATCCTTCCTTCGCCCCTGGGGGTGAGGTCTTTATATATTGGAGTCCTCATGGGTTAAGTGGAGCAGTTCCTGGATCACAGCTGTGATGGGACTGGCTTGCATGTTAGGTGGGTGAAATGCCATCAAACGGTAAAACTGTCCCTTCTCGTCAGAACCGGGGAGTTGGTGAACTAATATAGCCGTTACAAGTCACAATCCCATAAAATGCGGGGTACGGAGGTGTGTTCCTCGAGGTTGTCAAGTTGGCACCTGTGTTAGGCCGCTAGGTCGGTGCCTGGGCTAGGTCGCCAGCTCGTGCCAGGGCCAGGTCATGCCAAGGCCAAGCTACCAACTCGTGCTAGGGCCAGGCTGCCAGCTCGTGCCAGGCCATGCCAGTGCTAGGCCGCGCCAGTGCCAGGCCATGCCTGTGCTAGGCCGCGCTCATGCCAGGCCCCACCCATGCTAGGCCGCGCTCATGCCAGGCCGTGCTTGGTGGGACACCATCAACTTAGCAAAGGCAAGTTGTTGTCAAAGTGGTCTCGGGTGTCGCCTAGTTGTTCTGAGGTGCCAGGCTACATGATGGCGAGCTGCCTGTGTGTTGCAATGATGGCGAGTTGCCTAGTGGCAAGCTGCCTGTTAGTGCTGCATGATGGCGAGCTGCCTAGTGGCGAGCTTCGAGCTGTCTAGCTGTCAAGGGACAACACTTAGTTGGCATGAGGTGCCAGGTGTCACAAGATCATTGGAGAACCAAATCCACCCTCATCATTTGCCCCCCACTCCTGAGCAGAAAGTAACTCGGTGAAGGGAGTATATTTCTCCTTTTGGCCCGTAATTCGATGAGCTCGTAGGTGTTGATTCAGTTTCTTAGGCTCTGGAAGCTGCTTGGAAGCGAGCTGCCCGTAAGGTGCTGAGGTCTCTGCCAGTTTGGTACTTTAGCCCTTAGGTTCTGGGAGCGACTTATAGTCCACTCTTGTTGACTTTGTCCATGCCGATGAGGCGGCTGGCTCTTGTGCAGTAGTGTTGCCCATGCCGTAGAGGCAATTGGGTCTTAAGCAGCAGTGTTGCCCATGCCGTATAGGCGATTGGGTCTTTCAGTAGTAGTGTTGCATGTGTCGTAGAGGCGACTGGGTCTTTCAGCATTAGTGGCCCTTAGGCTTTGGGAGGGACCCATAGTCCACTCCTGAACTTTTCCCATGCTGTAGAGGCGACTGGGTCTTGTTGTGGCCCTTAGGCTTTGGGAGGGACCCGTAGTCCCCTCCTGAAGTTTTGCCCATGCCGTAGAGGCGACTGGGTCTTGTTGTGGCCCTTAGGCTTTGGGAGGGACCCGTAGTCCGCTCCTGAAGCGTTGCCCATGCCGTAGAGGCGACTGGGTCTTGTTGTGGCCCTTAGGCTTTGGGAGGGACCCGTAGTCCGCTCCTGAACTTTGTTGCTCCTTAGAGACCTACAAGGAACTAAATGTTAGAGGACCCGAGGTGGCTAACCCGGTGAGGTCGCTCCGATGGCTAAGTCAGTTCTCTCATAGTAGACTGCGAGCTAGAAATCACAATCTGAGAGCTAGAGCTTGCTTACTTGTTTTTTAGGCTGGTGACTTTTTAGTTCGTGAGTTCGCGCCTAGGCCAGGTCGCCAGGTCAGGGCTCGTGCCAAATCGTGCCAGATCGGCACGTGTGCAAGGCTGCCAGACCGCGCGCAGGCCGCGCCAGGCCGTGTGCAGGCCGCGCCAGGCCGTGTGCAGGCCGCGCCAGGCCGTGTGCAGGCCGCACGTAGGCCGCACCAGGCCATGCACAGGCCGCCAGGGGGGCGCCTTAGAGCTACTTAGTCTGTTAGCTCCCTGCATAGTCTTTGAGTTCATAAAAAATGGAAGCTATAAAGCGAGAGCTTCAGTTTCTAAAAAGGGGAGGACTTAACTTTCAGGGAGAAGAGGACTTAGCCTTTTTGTAAGATAAGAACTTAGCTTGTGTAGGATGAGAACTTAGCTTTTTGTAGCGTGTTCCCACAAACGGCGCCAATTGATGTAACCGGCTCCGGTCACGTATCATTTTTTTTTCGTGATGTGTCAATTTTTTGGCTAAGTACCTCGTCATCTCGTCTACTCCCAAGTGTCCTGTGACTCAGAGGTTGAAGTGGAGCTCCCTGGTGGCGAACTGCCTGGTGGTGAAATACCTTGATGGGCTGCTGGGAGGTGAGCTACCTTGATGAGCTGCTTGGAGGTGAGCTACCTTGATGAGCTACTTGGAGGTTAGCTACCTCGATGAGCTGCCTGGAGGTGAGCTACCTTGATGACGAGCTCCCTAGTGTAGTGCAACCCGACTACTACCGGCAAGAGGTGATCTGGCTACCAGTAACGACGGGAACTGAACTAGCTACTCCCTGCTGGCGATGATCTGCTCATCTTTGTAAGCGGCGGGAGCTAAGGGACCTGCGAGAACTAAATCAGAGAACCCGTGGGTGTTTACCTGGTGAGGTCACTCTGATGGCTAAGTTAACGCAGTATAGTAGTAGAGAGCTTGAAGATGATAAGAGAATGAGAGAGCTAGAGAGTAGAGGTTACCCATCCCTTTTTGCATCCTACCTTCGCCCCTGGGAGTGAGGTCTTTATATACTGGAGTCATCATGGGTTAGGTGGAGCAGTTCCTGGATCGCAACTGTGATGGGACTGGCTTGCGAGTTAGGTGGGTGAAATGCCATCAAACGGTAAAACTAT